TCAGGTGATCCTTCCGCCTCAGCCTTCCAAGTAGCTGAAACCATAGGCATGTGCCACCACACCTGGCTGATTTTTTGACTTATTGTAGAGATGAGGTCTCACCACGTTGCCCAGGCTGGTCTCGAACCTGTGGGCTCAGGCAATCCTCTTGCCTCCACCGCCCAAAGTGCTGGGATTACAGGCGTGAGCCACTGCGTCTGACCCAACCACCTCTTGAGCACCTTCAGTCCTTTCCCGCTCATAAGTCTCATTATGCCCATTTTATAGATGAGAAAACTAAGGCTCGCAGGAGAAGGCCTCCTTGCACAGGGCCTCGCGTCCCCACCCTCCCTCCTGTTAGCCCTTGGTTGACCCGAGCCAGGGAAGGGGGCTGAGCCGGTGCCTGTGCCCTCCCCCCGTCACTGGGCACTCACGTTGCAGCTGTGGTTGATGAAACGCGCAAAGTTGCCGCACTTGGTGGCGTCGATGATGGTGTCGTGGTCCACCCGGAACATGTAGCTACTGCCGATGCCCTCATCCTCGTAGCGCTTTTCCCGCATGTCCGCGATCACCTGGCCACGGAAGGGTGTCAGTCTGCGCTGGCTGGGCCCAGGCTTGCCCCACGCCCGCCCGCCGGGCTGCGCCTACCTGGCGGATGTTCTGGCCCACGTACTCGATGACCATCTCGTCGGCTGCGATGGGCTCCATGGCGAACAGGCCCCAGTCGTGGATGTGGCTCTTGCAAAACTTCAGCTTCTTCTTCCGGAACTGCAGGAGGGCAGGAGACAGGAGGTGAGCCCCAGCCTTGGGTCCTGCCCCCCCCTTCCCCCATGGGGCCCACCTCACCTTGAGCTGGTTGAACTTGAGCAGGTCGCTGTCACAGCTGCCAGTGAAGGAGGACAGCAGGCGGCGCTGCTCTGACCGCCGCTCTGAGCCCGCACGGGTGGAGGCGTGAGGCTGCGCTGGGATGCTCATGCCCTGTGGGTCGGGATGGGCGCGGACGGGGCTCAGCGGACACGGGTCCCGCCGCAGCCCTGGCAACCCCACCCTAGGTGCCGAGTCTCTGCGGTCCGCCACATCCCAGGCTCCGGGCTCTGGGCCTCTGAGCCTGTGTGTCCCTAAGTGTCACCGTTTCCCTGCCCCCTCCTTCCCGTCAGTATCCGAACGCCCTAAGTGCCTCCCGCCTTCAAATCGACAAGGCAGTTTTCCCTGACTTGTGCTGCCTTTTCCCATCTCAGCTGAAAATCTGGAAGGATGACAGTGTCTGTTTTTGGTTTGTTTGGGTTTTTTTTGAGTTGGAATCTTATTCTGTTGCCCAGGCTGGAACACGGTGGCACGCTCATGGCCACCGCAGCCTTGACCTGCTGGGCTCAGGAGATCCTTCCACCTTAGCCTTCCAAGAAGCTGGACTACAGGTGCACACCACCATCCCCATCTAATTTTTTGATTTATTGTACAGACGAGGTCCTGCCATGTTGCCCAGGTTGGTCTCAAACACCTGGGCTCAGGCAATCCTCTCACCTCTGCCTCCCACAGTGCTGAGATTACAGGCATAAGCCACCGCAAGAGGCCAGGAGGGTGGTGTCTACTCCAACCCTCCGAGACGCTCATCAAGGCCTCTTGGATTTCCCCAAGCATTCAAAATGGAGGATCCTTCCCACACCCTCATGTCCCTTCTTTCTCTTGACCTCCCTCGGCCTCCACCCATTAACCCTCGGAGGCCCCCGAACCTCGGCCCTTCTTCTGTGCTCTCCCTGGGTGAGCTCACCCCTGCTGTGGCCCTCGGTTACCATTTCCATGCTGATGATGCCTGAACTCAGGTCCCGGTTGGAAATCCTCTCCCAAGCTCTGCAGGACGCCTGTGTCTAACTACCTGTCCAGTCTCGTTACCCAGATGTTCTGGAAACTTCAAAGCTCAAGCTTCCCCCAGTGCGGTGCCATCTGCCTTCCCATCTCAGGGTTTGGCGTCCAGCTACCCAGCCCCCCAAGTCAGACCCTGGGTAGCCCTACCCACCCCGTTATCTCCTGTCCCCAATCTAGCCCGCGGTCCTGTCCACTCTACGCTCAAGTATTCTTTCAAGGGCCCGCACGTCTTCCTCACGGCCCACTGGAGTCCAAGCTGTCCTCATGTGTGGCAAGCCCCTCAGTGTCCCCTGGGGACGGACAGTCAATTCCATATAACAGTCAGTAAGCTCTGACTGTGAACTGTGTCATTCCCACCTCTTCCCTCAAAACCCTCCCTCCACCTGCCACCAGACGCAGAATAAGCCCAGCCTCATCACCACAGGCCCCTGGAACCTGGTGACCTGTCTGCTGTGTCTCTGGCCACAAGCAGGCCTTCCTTCCTCTCTCACACCCAGCTCCTCCCCGCCTCAGGGTCTCTGCATGTGTCGTTCTCACTGTGGGTGGCCTGCCGGATTTGGTGAGCCCCTTTCCTCCTGTTTTAACTTTGTTTGGAGTTGAAATCTCACTCTGTGGCCCAGGTTGGGGTACACACTGGCACACTCGTGGCTCATTGCAGCCTCAGCCTCCCAGGATCAGATCTTTCTCCCTCAGCTCCCTGAGTAGCGGGGACTACAGGTGCTTGCCACCATGCCTGGCTGATTTTTTGTAGAGACAAGGTTTTGTTATATTGCCTAGGCTGGTCTTGAACTCCTGGGCTCAAGCAATCCTCCCACCTCAACTCCCCAAAGTGCTGGGGTCGCAGGTGTGAGCCACCGTGCCCGGATTGTTTTAACTCCTTAGGTAAGTCTTGTCTGCCTCTCTGTGGTCTCCCCTGTTCCCCGTGTGGTTGGTCCCCTCACCCCATCCAGGTCTGGCTGAAACATGACCTTCTCTGACCCCTCTGGCTTGCCAATCCCCGCTGCCTCTTCTGTCAGCCGGAGCCCTCGCTCCACTTGGGGCTACAAGCGTCTTTTTTTGTTTTTTTGTTTTTTTTAGCTGGAGTCTCACTCTGCTCCCCAGACTGGAGTGCAGTGGCCGCTCCCGGCCGCCTCAGCCTCGACCCGCTGGGCTCCGGTGATCCTTCCGCCTCAGCCTTCCGAGTAGCTGGAACTACAGGCGCGTGCTACAACGCCCGGCTCATTTTTTGATTTATTGTAGAGATGAGGTCTCGCCAAGTTGCCCAGGAGGGTCTCGAACCTCGGCCTCCCAAGGCGCGGGATTACAGGCTGAGCCACCAAGCCCGGCTACAAGCATCTTTGTTCACTTGATTATTTCCCACTAAAACGCAAATTCCACAGGACATGACTTTGTTTTGTCCCCTGCTGTGACCCCAGCACAGTGCCTGGCACCCAGCAGGCACTCAACAGATATGTGCTGTTTTAAAAAGGAACAAACAAGTCGGGCACGTTGGCTCACACCTGTAATCCCAGCACTTTGGGAGGTGGAGGTGAGGGGACTGCCTGAACCCACAGGTTCGAGACCAGCCTGGGCAACATGGCGAGACCTTGTCTCTACAATAAATCAAAAAATAAATTAGCCAGGTGTGGCGGTACGCACCTGTGGTTCTAGCTATTTGGAAGGCTGAAGTAGAAGGATCGCCCAAGCCCAGCAGATCAAGGCTGCAGCAGTCATGAGCATGCCACTGCACTTCAGCCTGGGCGACAGAATGAGACTCTGACTCAAAAAAACAAAATAAAATAAAAAACAAAATAAAATAAAAAAGAACAAATAAGCCTTCCAGAAACACAGCTCTGCTCACATCCCTGACCAAAATCCTCCGGAGCTGGAGTGCTCCCACAGGACGAAGACCAGCTCCTCCCTTCCAGGCTCGTCCTCCCCTCCTACCTGGGCACCAGGTGAGCAGCTCTCATGCACCCAGGGCCCTCTGGCCCCGCAGCCCCTCCCTCCAGGAACACCCCTCCCCCCGCCACCTGGCCCAGGCACCCGAGGCAGCACCTGGGTGTCAGCAGGGGGCTCATCGGTGCTGGCACGGCTGCTGTTGAGGTATCTGAGCTTGTCCTTCTTGTCGATGGTGTAAAAGCCTTCGCTGCGGGCGCAGCCTGTCACATGCTCACGGATGCCGTCGTCACGTTTCTTCTTCTTGGCTGAGGAGAGGCTGGTGGGTGGGTGCGGGTCAAGGACCACATGGCATTCTCAGAGCGCCCTCCCCGTCCCTCGAGAGACTTGCCCCGCCTGGCCCAGCCTCTGCATCCTCAGACCCATCTCCAGGGGAACCAACGCTAGGCTCTCCTGCCCACTTCCGCACCACCTCCACGTGGCTGCCCACTGCATGCGTCTGCTGGTAGCCAGTACCTAGTCACATCACCCTAGGTGTGTTTCTTAACCACTTTCTGCCTCGGTTTCCCATGTGTAAGCTGGGGCAACAATGACGCCTCTGCGAATGAAGAAATACGCAAATGCTTACTTACAGTACTTAGCAGAGTTCCTGACACAGAGTGAGTGCTCAGCAACCCAGTTTGATATAACTGGGATAATGACACCTCCAACCTCAAAAGGTTATGGGAGAGCATCGTGGTCAAGAGCCCAGATTCTAAAGCCAGATGTGCAGGGCTCAAATCTCAGCTCTGTCACTTTATAGCTGTGTGATTTTGGGCAAGTCACTTAACCTCTCTGATCCCGTTTCTTCAGATGCAAACTGGGAATAATAGCCCCATACCTCACTAGGCTACTGGGAGGATTACATCTGGCAATGCAGGGGCCAGGACAGAGAGCCCTCCGCCGGTCTCTGCTGTGGTTAGGATGTGCGATCCCATTGTCACATTCAGCCCCGAGACCTGCTAACTCTGGGGGCGAGACGGGACCAGCACAGAGGGAGTGTTTACAAGTGCCAGTGATGACTCACTTGGGAGCCTGGCACGGTGCTGGCACCAACACTGCCTGGGAGGTGACAGTGACGCATGCTGCCACCTTCGCGGGTACCAGGGCCTGCTACAGACCAGGAGGCGGGGCCCAGGGCAGTGGGCGTGGACGCTCTGCGTCCCCGGAGGCGTGGCCCCCATTACGTCCGGCAGGATATAGGGATGGTAGACCCAGAGCGTGTCGTTGAGCCAGTCCATGCCGTTGTCCTGCTGCAGCAGCCGCTCGTAGGTGACACACAGGAAGCGGATGTCCTCCTCGTCGATGCCACCGTTCCAGATGTCATACAGGATGGTCATTTCCTCAAACTCCGAGCGGGGCCGGAAGAGGGGCTGGGGTGGCGAGAGCTCGGGCGAGGCCGAAGGGGCCACCAGGTCTTCGTGGCGCTTCTTGGGCGGCCGGCGCCATGGCCCCCGCACCTTGGCCAGCTCCATGTACTCCTCGGTGACCTCGTCGCGCCCGCGGGGGCCCGGAGGGATGGCCTCCGAGGGCCACTGGTTGTCCAGCTCCTTGAAGGGCAGCTTGGTGGGCTCCACAGGCG